GTTGTTAGATATGATTATTGAAAGTGAAAACCAGTTAATATAGAAGAATATTGTTGGAAGAAGTGTATAGGCAATATTATTATTTTTAATAGCAAGATTTGTAAAAATGATGAATATAAAATTTATGATCTCATCCTCCCACTAAACATGAAAACCCTTTGGCCATTTATGAGACGCCAGCGAGCTGCTATTCCCATGTGACCATAAAATTGGCCTTGGCCCATCTGAGGCCGCATTATTTACTATAAAATTAATAAAGTACTGGTAAAGATATTTTCCTTGTAATGTAAAAATTGACATTATGAGTTGAAATCTAAAGAATCCATAAAAATCTCATTATTTTTACAAAGTTCGTTTAATAATCGAATTAAATTACGGGTTTTGAGCTTACATTAAATTGTAATAAGATGGATTCTATGTATTTTGAGGTGATCTTTTCGAAAAAAGGCAAAACAAAATGTAGCAGTTTTTCGAAAGTGCCGAAATTTTGGATTATGTCAATTTTTCAATTTTGCGCAGGCGCATGTCGGAAATAAATCAATATTTTTAAGACGCAGTTTACGACATTTGAAAGCTTAGGAAAAATTCTAACTTTTATATCTCTTGAGAAATTTTTATCCGATGCCCCGTTCTCGCGGTATATACGATTGAAATTTGTTTAGTATTTTGAGACTACGAAGATCGAAAAATTGAATTTGTTAAATGTTCAAACATTAAATTCTTCATAACATTGGTAAAAATTAAGATATTTGAAAAAACAAAAATGCGTCTTGAACTCAAGGGATGTGACTAGTAATACCCAGAAGGGGGCAAAATAAATCCCAAAATTGGGCATGTGGCGGAAGGGCAAAGTGTACCGCGGTCCTAATTTCATTGTTTGCCTATAACGGCCAAACTATTTGAATTTTTTTAATACCACTTACAAAGCTTAATCTTAAATGTGAAATCTTATGTGTGTGTGAATTTCACCGACATCGGACCATAATTGGCTAAGATATAAAACAATTAAATAAATTTTTTTCCTTTAAAAAAATATTTTTTTTTTTCGAAAATTTGAAGTGGCACAAAAATGCCAAAAATGCACCCAATCAAAACTTTTTTTTTGAGTACTCTATTGTGTCTAAAATACGATTACATTACGGAAAATTCTGCAAATATATTTTATCTATTTTTTTGACCACTGTGAGTGACGACCAAAAAAACACGATTTTTGAGAAAAGTTGCCTAAAATTGACAATTTTTAGTTTTTTGATCTGAAAATTAAGCAAACCCAAATTTCATGTCGTTTAAATGTGTATACAAAGTTTAAAGTGTGTATGTTTCTTCTAAGTTGTAGAATTCTCCCGACAAAAGTCCCATTACACGCGCTCCGCGGGATCCAAAACTCGTGTATACACTACATTACTGTAATTTGATTTTTTTGCGATTTCCAGTTTTAAATTTCTTAAATATCTAAATTTATTAGGCTTAAAATTTATTAAATTGTATTTTACTGACTTGTTATAAGACGTTTCTTGAGTTTTGTGCAAAATATAGAATTACCGTCAAATTAGCCGCACGTCGCATCAAGGATAGTAATGGTCTCGGCGTTCGCTATCTGACAAGTTTAAACTTCAAACGGTCATATTTTTACAAATTGAATCGCTTGATAGTGTTCATCAGCATAGATTTTTAATAACCGTGTTCAGCAAGCTCTGTGTACACGTGGCTTTTCGAACTTCTCAGCAATTTATTGAGTAAGTACGTTCCTAAATTAAGAAAATTCTATCACAGTGCTATAATTTTTTTGTTTCCAGGTTGCAATGGCTGGCCTGTGTTTATTATGTCATCAGACACTTGCAGAGGGTGAACTATTGAAGATTTGCAATGCGACCTATGACATTCGAAATATAACCGAAAACTACGCTTTTTTGTGCTTAGAAAATTGCTCGTAAAACGAGTGGTTTCTTCTTAAATCCAACATTTTCCCTTTTTTTTGAGAAAAAACAAGCACACTGTCGATTTTTTCCGTAATTTGGGAACTTTACAGACTGAAAATATATTAGAATCAGTAAGTTTAATGAGAAACAAGCTTACTTTCTCTCCCAATTGCCAGAAAATTCGAGTAGCTTCAATTCTCGCGAGAATTACCGATCTTTGCACACGTGCGCTCAGAAAACAGTGGATGCTAGAAAAAATGTATAGGCCGCTCTATCATTGTCATTACCTCCGGGACTATGTTCCGCAGACATTTATTTTATAAAAAGTAAACTTATTGTGCAACGAACTGTATATCAAAGGTAAGGACAAATGTCCTTTAACTATTTTAATACGCTTGATCCAAATTTGTTCTTTCTAGGTTGCCGATTTAAGATTATTTGTTTTTTGAATACCAATTTTATCATATCGTCCCTATTTGATCACTAATTGAATAATATAATTTAATTTTCCAGTGCTATAATTGCTAATAAGTTCTAACTATATAATCCTATAGGAAGTTTACTCTCTGTTCTAATTCGTGTCTTACGCGAACAGATCTAATTATTGTCGTTTAAGTTGTTAGTCAAGAGATTGGATCTGTCACTAAGAAATGTTCTAACCATAGCTATGTAAACTAAGCATTAATTTAATTAATTAATGACGAAGACTGAATAAGATAATCGACAAAAAAAAACAACTTATCCCGTCCTATCAATTCGGGTTTTGGGATAAATATTCTACGATTTATCAGATCCATCGCATGATATATAAAATTGAGAATTTTCTGGAAGAGAAAATATTGTTCTTAAGTATTTCTTGATATTTCAAAAGCCTTTGATAACGTGTAGCATCAAGGCTTACTATTTAAAATTAAAAATAAATCCCCATACAATATGTCCAACTACTAGAATCATATCTATTGCAGATAATGTTTATAAAGTTAAAATGGAAAACGAATACTCTGAACTCAAGTCAATAAATGCTGGCGTCCCATGGGGAAGTGTTCTTGAGCCAGTATTATATTAATTATACGCCTATGACATTTTAGAGATAGAAAATATAAAATTTGACACATTCGTTGATGATACAGATGTCTTAACCATAGAAGAAACAATAGATAATATTCAAAACGGAATCAATAGCATACAAATCTGGTCTTTCGTTAAGAACCTGGGGAAATATAGTAGGTTTTGCAGACGATACTGTAATATTCTATAAAGTTGATACGTAGGAAGAATTAATAATAAAGGTAGATAATAATATTTGTAAAATAAAACAAATGGCTAGAGTTTAAACTAGTAATAATAAACATTCTTAAAACGAATTACTTGTATGCCCTTCTCTTGCAACTCTTCTACTCTGCCAAGATTTAACCGATTGTGGATAAATAATGAACATAGCCATTTTAAATATTGCCTGCAAGCAAAATAAAATACCTGGGTGTGATTATTGACCAGCATATGAAGTCGAATTTGCCCTTTTTGTCTCTAAGAAACAAATTAAGAGTCATATTGTATAAAAAAAGCTTAAAAATGTATTACTTGAGAACTTTATACCATGCTTTAGTTAAAAGACTAGGTGTGAAACATTGATCCGAGGAAGTGCATATAAAACACATTTATATCAACTGGAAATTATACGACGTTTTATAAAACTTTCTTGTACTCTAAAAATGCTAGTTCTCCATCTGATGCACTTTACTACGAATTAAAAATCATGGATATTCAATAATTGTATTTTTTGTTTGTAATATTAGATATCACAGCAATAAACAATTCGCACAGCAAACCTCACATAAATGTGACACCCGCCAACAGCTATATATTGTCCCTTTAAAATCAACAACTCAACATTCGTTTTTATATTAAGCTCCTAAATTTTATAATACTCTTCCTTAATAACATATTAAACTAAAAACATACATCTTGGATAAAAGCAGAGACACAATAACAAATATGTTTAATCTTCATTTTAATTATTACACACTTTATCCTCTACATGACAGAAGAAGCGCCTCCGTTTACATAAAAATTGTTTTTGAATTTTTAACTTCACCTTACATACTGTTTTTTTCTATTTATTTATTTATTTAACTTTACTTTTTAACTGATTTAGATCTTTTTGTTTTATTACTATAATTATAGTTATTTGTATATGTTTTAATTATATATTTCCCGTCGAAACAAGTGTTATGCACTTATCGGCTTAGGCCCTTTATTTCACACTTTTTGAAAAAATGCACCGATTTATACAATTTCTTATTAATTATAAAGTTTTTATTAATAATATTATTTTTATTATAAACAGTGGCGCACAAAACTTAACGAAGAAAAATCCGCTCACATTAACTTTACCAATAGAAGAATAGATTATATACCAATAAACTTAAATAACAATATTATACTAAATAAGAAAACAGCAAAATATATGGGTTTACATCTGGATCCTCAACTAAAATGGAAAGGACCATGTAAAAATTAAAACTGGACAGCTAAAGATTGAATATAGAAATATTTATCGGTTGATAGGAATGCACTCTTTACTTTCCACTCAAAAGTCCTAATTTAGAAACAAGGTCTAGAGCCAGTATGGACATATAGCCTACAATTATGAGGTGTACCAGAAAAAGCAATTACAATTGCCTGGAAATAGTTTAAAACCAAATTCTCAGGAACATAGTTAACGCTCCTTGGTATATTTGGAATAAAGACATACACCGAGAACTCCAAGTTGAATTAATTCCACAAGAAATTAAGAAAACTGCCAATAGACATGAGGAGAGGCTCCACAAACACATCAACATTGAAGTACTCCAACTTTTAGACAATCAGGATCTAGTGCGCAGACTTAAAAGAGTCAAATCGTTTGAGCGTGAAGTGATCGTAATAAAACAGAGTTAAGTGCTATGAGCCACCATATCGAAGTGTGATTAATCTTGTAAGACTAGGTGCATTTTGACATTTAAAAAAAAAAAAAAACATATGCTGTTCATCTACAAGTAATAGGTATGTATCGTGAACTTATAAATAAAACATATTTACCTTCCTGATGGATCAGAGAGCATGTCATAAACAACATCTTCAAAATTAAATTCTGTCGAAGAATCACTCCAATATATATCTCCATTTTTTGACAAAGATATGCTGTTAAACAATTTAGGATTTTTACCGTCAATCGGGTCATTCGGAGATATAAGCATTACCTTTTCTCCTGAAAAAAAAAAAAAAAAAGAATTGATAAAGTAATCATACAAAAAATATATTTTTCAAAATAAATATTTCGCTAACATAAAGTGATTTATTTAATTTGCAGGAAAAAGCAATGCATTCAGCAAAACAAAATCCTCTCTTGAAAAAAAAAACTAAAGAGTGCTTATAAAAAGATCCTCTTCATTTTCTACCTAATGTTCTTTGTTTAATTGTTGATTGGTTAAGTATTTTTAAATAGGCAATATTATCAAAGAGAATCTATAAAAAATAACTTATTAAATCACCTCAGTGTCTGTTTATTAGTCATAGGCGTTTTACTCAGAGACTTTGTATTCGATTCGTACCATTGAAATTTGAAACATTTTTATTAAATAGTGTAGGGGAGGGACTAACTGCATCGGGTGCATCATTGAAAATAAGCTATATACATAACTACAAGAAGGGTTAACCTGGATTGGTAGACTGTGTCAAATATATATAATTGTAATTAAAAAAAAAAAACAGAATTTTTAATGCCATCGTTTAGACCAGTATTTCCCAAAGCAGTCCAGGTGGACCCCCGGGGGTCCACGGGAGACTCGACGGGGGTCTACGTTGGGCGTAATAAAAAATGGGGGTCCACAATCGTAAGCGGGGGTGCATAAAAATTAATTTGGTTTCGATAGTGAAGCATTATACTATTAAACAATTGAATACTCATTTTTCCATGTAATGAAGAAATTCTTGTAAAACAACTTCAACTGTTTATAATATAAACAGTCAACATATTAGTTACTAAAATATTGATTTGACTTCTCTTATCAATATAGGCAGATAATATTTTAAGAAGCTCAGCGACTGTTACTTGTAAAAACTTGCATATTCCATATTCAGTACAACGCGTCGAGACTTGTCGATGCCGCGCCGGCCTCCTTCCCGTCCGCAACGCTTGTTCAGACGTGCAAATTAATACGACATGTGGTGTATGTGCTTGCAATCTTGCATGAACGTGTTTGATTCTTCATCAGTATAAATACGAATATCAAGGATAATCGTTACTCATTTGTTTCTGGAATTTCATAAAGAAAAGTGAATCGATATTAGTGTTGGCCAGTGACTGAATTTGTTTCCAGACTTTCGAAAAGAAAAGTAAAGTGAATCAATATTAATGATTGCCAATCTCGGAAAAGTAAGTACCTACATACCTGCCTATTTGTTATATGCGTATAGTTTTAAGCCGAGACAGATTGAACTTATCGTCCCTACTTTATTTTTATTACCTATCTAATTCATTTAATTATTGCGAAGTTTTGATATCAAAATATTGTTTAAAAGTTTCTATAGAATTTACAGAAATATATTAAAATATAATAAATTAAATAATAATTTTATATCACATTAAAATAAGTTCAGCCGTTTTCATAAAACTCTATTATGGATCTTAGCGATTTATTGCTTTTAATAATTTCATAATATTTATAATAATTGATTAATCATATTATCTTAAAATAGCCATATCCTGTTAAGTTCGAATCGCCTTAAGATTACTAAAACAAAGTTTTCTTTTTATTTATTTACTTACACATTTACAGGTAGGTAATTGATACAAAACATGGCCAAATCTAAGAATAAGTGTCGTCAGTACAGTGTTGAATATTTAAATTTGGTTTTCTTTCATCAAAGGCAGACAAACGATTGCCCACATGCCTTTTATGCAACAAAGTTTTGAGCAACGACTCTATGAAACCATCAAAGCTGCAAGATCATCTAAGAAGGTGTCATCCTGATAAAATAGGTAAAGATTTGAAATATTTCCAAACATTAAAGGAAAAATATGAAAAGAGACCCACCGTGCACAGTATGTTCTCATCAACGTCTGAAAGCAACGATGATGCTTATAGCAAAATCTGGAAAACCGCACACCATTAAAGAACAGTTAATTTTACCTGCTGTTGAAGAGGGTTTAAAAATTGTTCTGCACAAATCTTCATTTGACATACTCAAAAGAATTCGTTTGACTAACAACACTGTACAAAGACTTATTGATAAAATGAGCTCTGATGTTGAAAGTCTCTTGTATGATTATCTGCGAACAACTCATTTTTCTATTCAACTGGACGAGTCAACTTTACCTGGCAATGAAGCATTATTATTGGCATATGTTCGATTTGTTATGGGCGAAGAAATTCATGAAGAGCTACTATTCGCGCAAACTTTGAAGACGGACACTAAAAGTGAATCAATATTTAATGTTTTGAGTGATTTTTTTTAAAGAAAAATTAATTCCATTCACGACAACAGATGGAGCTCCTGCCATGGTCGGGCGATATCGTGGGTTTATAAGCCATCTTAAATGAATTATACCAGAGGTAATTGCGATTCACTGTGTTATCCACCGACAACATCTAGTAGCGAAAAATTTGAGTGATAGATTGCACCAATCGCTTCAATTTGTAATTAACGTAGTTAACAAAATAAGAAGCAATGCATTGAATACGAGTTTATTTGCACAATTGTGCGACGAAAATGATGAAGATTTCCAACGATTGCTGTTACATATCGAAGTATGCTGGTTGTTGAAAGGTGCATGTTTATCAAGATTTACTTTTATTTACTTTTTAACTCAGTTTTAGAGTTTTTGGAAAGTAAAGATCCTGATTTAAAAAAAAATTTGATCAATTTTAAAGCAGACATCGCGTATTTGACAGATTTGTTCAAAACATTTAATGACCTTAACTTACAATTACAAGGGGACAGCCTCAATTTAATAAAAACAAAGAGTGTAATTTCAGCTTTTCTTGGTAAATTGAAATTTATGAAGGAAAATATTGGTCGACGCGAATTTTCAGTTTTATAACTTGCCGCAGGTAGAATGCCTTGATGAAGATAGTCAGACATACGTTCAACATTTGATTGCCCTGCATGATGATTTTAAATTCAGATTTAAAGATATTCTGTCGATGGAAATACCACCATGGATCATAAATTCATTTGATAAAACGGAAGTGGAGAATGTGATATTACAAGAGGAGCTACTCGAGCTTAGCATTAATGAGGAGCTGAAAGTGACATTTAAAAGTGGGTATCAAAAATTTTGGCTGCAGGCAGAAATACCCGAAAAATATCCTGGACTGTGGCGAATTGTGCAAAAGCTTCTGATAGCGTTTCCCTCGTCATATCTCGTCGAAAAAAGTTTTGATGCCGTTACAAACTTATTAACAAAAAAAAAGGAGCAGATTGAATATCTATACTTCACTTCTATACCTTTATATCTTTGATGTAGGTTTCGCCTATCCATCAAATTGGCCCCAGTTAAGTTGTTATTTTGTCATGAGTTTTTCACTTGTTATATGTTCTTATTTTTTCACTGTTACGTCCATTCTTTCTTTTGTGTTTTGTTTGATTAGCGCTGTTCCTGCTATTGCTAGTATAGAAGTTTCCAGAGCTGTCCTGCAGGTCGATGTGATTGTTTAGACTCTACGGATCAGTCAGTTGGTTATGGAAATATTAACGAAAAATGGAAAATGGCGGATTTCGTTTTTCGCCTGTAAATCCGAAACGAATAATTTGACAGCTGAAACCGTTTATCAAATGCACTAACATTCCTCTAAAACTTTTCACATTTAACCTTTGCTGTAGGTATAATAGGAGCCGAAATCCCTGTATAGAGAAGCGACTCTGGGACACACTGTATACAGTGAGGACGTATAGGTTGGAATAAATTCGATATAATTTTGTCTAACAGTATGTTAACAGGTGAATTTTGTTTTTAACTGCGTGCCTTACAAATAGATGTACTAATGACGTCTTCACTCGTGTACATGACGTCATCGAATTTTTTTTAATGGAACAATATATTTTCCTCTTTATTTTTAAATTTCCCAATAATAGACAATTACAAAAATGTAAGTATGTAATACTTATAAGTCCGAAGTCATTGGTTTTTGAATTAGAGTCAAATATTATTAAAAGGACTGGACTAATAATATCGTTTTCCTTCTTTTTTTTTCACAAGAATTGGTTTAGTTTAAAAATTTATAGGTCCAGTCCTTTCAATAAAATTTTTGATGTAACATTTTCTCTAATTTACAAACCAATGACTTTGGACTATAAGTTTTACATAATTTTTTGTAAGCGTCTATTACTGGGAAATTTAAATATGAAGAAACAAATATATTGTTCTATTAAAAAAAATAGATGACGTCATGTACACAAAAGTGGTAACGTTATTAGTACATCCAATTGTTGCGTAAGACGAGCAATTGAAAATAAACATTGACCTGTGAAAGCATTTTGTTAAAATAATGTTAGACAGAAAAATATCGAATGTATTCCAACTTTTACATCCTCACTGTATAGTACGTTAGTTTCCGTTGCTTTTTTAAAAACAATAAAAACGACAAAAATTGCTCTCCCCATTTTACAAAAACGTTGAGAGTAAGATATAGATTGAACTAAAATTATCAAGATTGCACTCCGTTGTATAAAGAAATATGAAAGATTTATTGTACTTATACTTTAAATTAAATTAAATCTACCAATCAATCAACTATATTTATTTTATAATAACTGCAGTTCGGCATATTTCTGTACGACTTGCACTTAAACATCTTTTTAGGGTTCCGTACCCGAAAGGTAACTAACGGAAATCTATTACTAAGCCTCATCTGTCCGTCCGTCTGTCAGCAGGCTGTATCTCATGATTCGTAATAGGTAGACAGTTGAAATTTTCACAGAATATGTATTTCTGTTGTTGCTATAACAAGAAATAATAAAAATACATTAAAAATTAAAGGGGGCTTCCCTATCTTAAAATAGTACCTAAAAAGTACCTAAAATTACCTAAAAAAGTACCTAAAAGTACCTAAAAAGTACCTAAAAAGTACCTAAAAAGTACCTAAAAAGTACCTAAAAAGTACCTAACAAGTACCTAAAAAGTACCTAAAAAGTACCTAAAAAGTACCTAAAAAGTACCTAAAAGTACCTAAAAATACCTAAAAGTACATAAAGTACATAAAGTACATAAAAAGTACCTAAAAGTACCTACAAGTACCTAAAAGTACCTAAAAGTACCTAAAAAGTACCTAAAAAATACCTAAAAAAGTACCTAAAAGTACTTAAAAAGTACCTATTTAATCTTGTACGATGGTACGGAACCCTTCATGCGCGAGTCCAACTCGCACTTGGCCGGTTTTTTTATTATCAATATCAGACAGATATTTTCAAATATATTAATGCTACTCACCTGTCTCTACGTCAACTTTAAAAATCCCATAATAGGCGTCGGCGACAAACATACTACCGTCTCGATCAAACTTTATTCCCATGCTTCTCCCGCAAATTCTCTCCTCGAATTCCCCCTTGCAAGTTTGGCCTGTTCTAACAACTGTTACCATAGATCCATCTTTTTTAAATTTAACTACTTCGCCGGTGAACAAAGACGTATATAATTCCCCTTTGTAATCTGAGAAAGTTTCTGGACCTAAGAGGTCGCCTTTATGCCACAATTCGGCATTATCGAGTTTCTCTTCAAGGCCAAGCTTCTCGGTCAGAGGTCGGTTTGGAGCAAAGCTAAAATAATAATGAAAAATATTAGATAAGGTATATTAAATTTTTAAAGCCGTTTAGAAACAAACTGATATTAAAAATATCGTTTAATCTCTTTATTTTCAACATTCCATATTAAAAGTGGTTAAGATGTAATCTTTTTGTTTCTAATAGCTTAAATAAATTTTACATTTTCTATTCTCAACATTTTCTACATTGATTAAATTGTTGACAATTTTTTGTGCAGTCCCAAAGTTGGTATATGTGTTAACAAATCGAGATATATAAAATGTCATATTGTGGTAACAGCTTTGGTAACGTTTTTTTGTTATGCACCGCCAATTTTATTATGTGAAAGTTAACAAATACAACTGATTTATTAGGTAACAAGAAACGGCTTGGATCGATAAAAGAAACAATAAATAAGAGAGGGCCAGAACAGAGCCTTGAGTAATACCTTGTCTTATAGCCTTAAAAAAATAACACCATTATTCATTACATCTTATTGTTTATTACTGATTTATGAATTTTTCACCATAAAAGCTTAGTTTTTCAAGAAGATGTGTTGAGAGACGCACTCACGACAAGTAGAACAGCCTGTGTAGTAGAACAAAAGCATCTAAAACCATAATATTCAGAGTTGTTAAAGGAATTTTTAATTCAAAATAATTACACAATTATTTTCTAACAATCTTTTCATTAATTTTCACTAATATTAAAATAATACTTAGTGTCCTAAGTATACAGGGTGTTTCATAATGAATGCGCAGGACTTAAGGACGTGATAGCTCGTCCAAAAATATGAAAAAACGTTTCTATTAACTTACCCTCTAAAATGCACCATTTTCGAGATACAGGGTGTTGAAATTGAAAAAAAAAATTCTACGCCACTGGAAAAAGTACGGTTTTTGAGACGCCCATTTGAACCGCCAATGTTTTCTACACAAAAAAGATACTCTTGGTCATACGCTCTAAAGTCGGCCGTTTTTGAGAAAAATCAAATTTTAATTTTGAAATACTTGGTCAATTTTTGGAAATAAAACTTTTTTCTTACTAATGAAACAACATTTTTAAACGTTATAACAAGTAACAAAAGCAAACGTTAACTTCATAATTACAAAATTAAAAAAAAAACAATAACAAATCATAAACAGTTAAATTAAATGTTCGAAATATCCGCCTTAGCTTCAATGCACGCAGCAATTCTTCGACGTTTTGACTGTCTAACACGCAGGAGAATTCCCGGAATGTTCCGAATTATGTCGCAAGATGCAAACAAACAGATGGTAGTGAAAAACCCATTTGCTATATATCAAGAGTATTGAATAAGACTGAGCAGAATTATAGTATTACTCACAAAGAGGGATTGAGTGTTGTTTGGGCAGTCCAAAAACTTTATCATTTTTTAGCTGGTAGACATTTTAAAATAGTTTCTGACCATAAATTTTTAGTTACCCTATTTGGGGAAAATAAAAGTTTACCACAAATGGCTGCTGGTAGGGTTTAACGTTGGTCATTATTTTTGTCAAACTTTAATTATACTTTCAAATATATTAAAAATTCTGAAAATTTAAGAGCAGATGCATTATCAAGTTTGCCTGTAAATAGAACGGTTAAAATGAAAGAAGATTGTGACTATCTACATTTTGTTGAAAATTTAAATGTTATAGATATAAATAAGGTTAGGTCTGAGACTCGAAAAGATGAAATTTTAGGAAAGGTATATAATTTAATAAGGGATGGCTTTGAGGAATCCACCGATGATGAGATTTTAAAACTATTTTACTCTCGAAAGAATGAATTATCATTGTATAGGACAGTAATAATGTGGGGGTACAGAGTTGTGGTACCGTTTAAACTTAGAGAACAAATTTTGAAAAAACTGTATGCTTATCATGAAAGTATTGTCAAAATGATCCTATTTGTGGTGGCCGGCACTAGATATGGATATTGAAATTCTAGTAAAAAAATGTGATATATCTGTTAAACAAAGACCAGACCCACCGAAAGGTATTCTTAGTCAATGGATGCGTGCAACTAAACCATTGCAAAGAGTGCATGCTGATTTTCTGGGCCCATTCTTTGGTAAAACTGTTTTAGTAATAATAGATTTATTTTCGAAATGACCTGAAACCTACATAATGACTAAGGGTTTAGATTCTAAAGAAACAAAGGAAAAATTTAGAGAATAGGTATATGGCAAGATTTGAACTTATTGAACTATTGGTTTCTGATAATGGCACTCAATTTACCTTAACTAAATTTACTCAATTTTTATCCAAAAATGGAATACAGTTCATGCCGACTTCTCCAGTGCATCATCCGTCCAGTAATGGACAGGCTGAAAACTTAGTTAAATCATTTAAGATTGGTCTAGAAAAAAATATGAAGGATGACTCCCATAGAAATGTTATTTTGAATACTTTAATAAATCGTTTTTTGTTTAGTTATAGGAATATGAACCATATTTCAACAGGAGTTCCTCCTTGTAGTTTGATGTTAAAGTTTAAAAGTTTAAACCTAAAATTAGATTAGATTTGCTAAGACATGTAAATAATTGTGAAAAAAATTTCCACAAAAGGAAACGATGTATAAAATTTGAGGTGGGGGATGTGATATATTGCAGGGATTTCAGGAATCCTAATAAGAAAAATTGTGCTAAAGCCATAATTAAAGAAGTTGTAAGTGATTTTGTCTATTTGTGTAAATTGTATGATAAAGACCTTGTTTGGAAGCGACATTTAGATCAGATTGTGAAATATCCAGATAATGTAAATGAGGAAAAGCTGAATGTTGAAAGCTTTCCTAACTTGGAAACTCCTGAGGTAGTTCTTAAATAAGAGGTTCCTAATATTGTTTTTAATAGCATTCCTAACACGATTGCTAATAATACTTCTGAGGATTTGAATGAACCTGTGGCTGAAGTGCTACCTTCAAGGGAACCAAGTAATGAAAAAAATGTAGTCGATTGTAAGCTTAATTTAAGACCACGAGGAAACATTAAACCTTCGAATAGGCTTAACTTATAAGGGGGGGGATATTGTAGTATATTAACTAATTAATATTAGGCCACCTGTGTAAAGAAAGAAGAATAAAGAAGAAGAAATACAGCATAAACTCATATTCTTTGTATTGGCGCGAGCCGCATGTTTCAAGTAAAAAATAAAGCTTTTCTATGAAGAATTGTTTATATTTATTTATCGGATGCAGGACATTACATAAATCACTAGAAAAATTTCTTTTTTTGTTAAGTATTACTTCTTTCCAAAACCATTTTTGCATAAGATCTAAGTACCTCATGGGTGCGTAATAGACTCCCCCCATCCTAGTAAGCCATAATTTAAATGTGATTGCACAAGACAGAAATATAGTGTTTTTAAAGGTTCTATATCTAAAAAAGATTTCACATACCTAAAACGAGGTAATATTCCTCTTAATTTATTTATAACATATTTGATATGTAAATCCCATTTTAGATGTTGGTCCAATACAACCCCTAAATATTTTATTTGATCCGTGCCAGGTATGAAAGAATGGTTTTTTATATGAAGTGCTGTGAAAGTTGGCTAGTTATTGGCACATGAGGCAAATGACATAAATTTAATTTTATTAAAATTAATTGTCAATGTGTTTAGCTGGAATCACTTACTTAATATTTTAAAATTCTCTTTCTGTTACAGTTTTAACTTCATTCGTGCATACAACTACTGAATCATCGGCAAAACTTATGAGCTTACCCTTTAAGTTAAGTTCCAACAACCCGTTTATATATAGGGAAAACAGTAGGGGACCTAATACAGTACCTTGAGATACTCCATATTTGATTTTCCTGAATATACTATTTGTGTTCTCCAACTGAACACACTGAAGTCGGTTTTCTAAATATGATTTAATCAATTCAAATATTTTTCCCCTGAGAACATAATCATTTAGCTTATTCAACAAAGTTTTGTAACAAACAGTATTAAATACCTTGGCCAAGTCGATAAATATACAGAGCGTGGCTTTTGTTTCATCCATCGCATTGTATACACTGCTTATAATTTTGTGTAATAATAAAAACAAATCCTGTAAAATATATTTTTTAATAACTTACGAATTCCATTTACATTTTCTGGTTTCCTAGGAAATGTTTTTGTCATTTAATCTATATAGATTTGTTAAAATAGATTATTATTGGAATCAACATTTTCTTTTGCACCATGCAGCTTAATAGAGATACGAGAATTTCTCGATACGTTAAAATAAATGAAACTGAACAAAATTACTCAGAAACCCTCTGGAAATAAAACCACCAAATCCAAAGCACAAATTACTTTAATCATGACGTTTCGATCTATATATCAGAGATCGTTTTTAATTGGATTGGATAATTTCATTTTCAGAGCATTTGAGATTTAATGATTTGCGACTAAATTGTCATCAACGGTATTAGTGTAAAAGTATGATTATAATCCAAAATTGTTTTAATACTTTTTAACAAAATTGACGTATATGTATATTATCATAAGAAAATATGCAAATAAATATATTAATGATGATACACAGCCAATGCTATTTTTTAGATACAATCAAACTGCTACAATATTTCAGTCAATGTTATATTTTTTTTAAGACCGACCAGAAAATATACACATTCTGAACAATTTTTCGTCCATAAAATAACGTTTTGCCGATCAAGACCGGAAAGTAGACGTTAGGGAGCGGTAAAAGCTTTTACCGGTCCCTGTTTTTCATTTTTCCGATCGCTGTTTGATAATACAGTATGCCTTGATTTCGTTACTATGGTAACAACGTTCCGATTTATTGACAGTTCGTCTATTTTTAATTTGTTGTTTATGTCAAACTTGTTTTCGCAAATTTAAAATTATGGATTAAGATTTTGAATTATCTGACATAGAAAATAAAAATTTAGTTAATTTACGCCACTGTATTCGGCCATTATTACCATTTACATTTGACCAGTTTAATAAAATTAATTTAAACATAGAAATATTGAAAAGAACCACATTTTTTTAAAAGTC